GACTTATACTCGAGTCAAAGTGATGTATTATTTTACTTTGTTGTTATTGTTGTTGTTGTTGTTGTTGTTACATTTATTTTATTATATTTATTATATTTATTATTATATTTTACTCTATTTTATTACATTTACTATTTTACTCTATTATTATATCTATTTATTATATGTATTTATTATTATTATTACATTTAATTTTTACTCTATTCTTATTATTACATTTATTATTTTACTATATTTATTATTACTACATTTATTATTTTACTCTGTTATTATTGTTATTATTACATTTATATTCTTTTACTCTATTAGTATTATTTATTTATTTTATTTATTTAGAGCTTTTATAACCCGGTCTTCTCGACCTCTGAAGAGGGACTCAGGCCAGCTAACAGCAGAAAATTCATACACAAATAGAGTAAACATAACAGTATCATAATACATTAATACAAAATACATTAAATACAGATCATACAATATCATACAATTACAAAAGCCAGGTTGTCAGAGTAAAATCACAAATTCATCACCATCTGCCAGTGTGGACAGCCGTTATTGACTCGATCACCATTCTGCAAATGCTATATTCCAAAGCCAAGATTTTACCAGCTTTCTGAAAGTCAGAAAGCTGGTAAAATCTTGGCTTTGGAATATAGGGGCATGGAAGGGGCAGATCTAATCTCCAACGGGAGAGAGTTCCAGAGCCGAGGGGCCACCACCGAGAAGGCCCTGTCCCTCGTCCCCACCTGACGCGATTGCGAAAGCAGGGCCCCTCCAGAAGGTATTAACAATCTTGGTGGTTCATAGGGGAGAATCCTATTTTTATTACATTTATTATTTTACCCTTATTTATTATTATTATTACATTTATTATTTTATTCTATTTATTATTATTATTACATTTGTTATTTTACTCTATTATTACTATTATTACACTTGTTATTTTACTCTATTTATTTATTAGTATTACATTTCCCTTATTTTACTCTATTATTATTATTATTATTATTATTATTATTATTATTATTATTATTATTACATTTCTGATCTTATTCTCTTTGTTATTATTGGAAGGATATGTAAGCACCTTTACATAGAAGAAGGTTAGAATCATGGTTTAATCAGAGTTGGACAGTCTTATCTTAAATTAGTTTAATGTAAATATTCAAAAACATTTCACCTACTGATGCCTCAATGTAATTGGTATCTATTTTTATTTTGAAATTTACCAGTAACTGCTGCATTTCCCACCCTTGGATTATACTCAAGTCAATAGGTTTTCCCAGTTTTTTGTGGTAAAATTAGATGCTTTGGCTTATATTAGGGTCGGCTTATACTCGAGTATATACGGTATTAAAGGGGTGAAAATCCACGCTTTTAAGTTGCTAAAAAGACAGTGGAAACACATTGAAGAAGGCAACTTTAAATTTAGCCCTATCGTTTTCACATAAATACTAGCACAATCACACATTTAAGTCACGGGGTCCATGGGTTTGTCTTGCACTTGAAAATGTGTGATAACACGAATTCAAACTCCTCCATACAAGTAATGGAGAGAGTGTAATTTTTCCTTACAGACTCTCTAAGCAAAATGAGCAATAATTATGCAAAAAACAAAACAAAACCCTGGAATCCTGAAAGAGCATCGCATTCGACAGAAGGAGACCCTGATAACACCGTTATTGGGATTCTGTCTGTTACAATAGCTTTTGCTTTAAAGCTTTTGGGACTGCAAATAATGCTTCCCGATAAAAAAAATGATCTGTTCGAGTTTATTAGGACCGAAGACTTCATAAAGATGATTAATCAAGCAATTTATTAATCATAGGTTAAAACCTACAGCTTTCGTCTGGTTTTAATCAGAACTGTCTTTGCAGTTCTGCAGTTTTGTTCAGAGCCATCCCTGTGTATCTATCTATCTCTTGATTCTGGAAATATGTTTAAAATACATTTTCCACCACCAAGGACCTATAGTTAAGCCTACTTGAAAAAAATGATCTATATTGCATTGGGCATATGGGCAATACAGATGGTGGTGAAAAGCAAAGTACTGATTGGTTGCACTTTGGGGATGGCATGGAATGTTTACCAAAATTCCAACTTTTTAGGAAGTAAAGGTGTTGGAATGTTTTGGGAAACTAGTTTTCATGAGGAAAGGGGTGGCTCTCAGTTTGGCTGGGAAGTTGCCCTTTGGAATAGGAGCTTTAAAGCACAGCCCAAGAACTAAGAAGATATTGGGTTGTTGTAGGTTTTTTCGGGCTATATGGCCATGTTCTAAAGGCATTTTCTCCTGACGTTTTGCCTGCATCTATGGCAAGGATGCTTGCCATAGATGCAGGTGAAACATCAGGAGAAAATGCCTTTAGAACATGGCCATATAGCCCGAAAAAACCTACAACCCATTTTCCTACTTCCAACTGACCTCACTACCTCTGAGAATGCTTGCCATAGATGCAGGCGAAACGTCAGGAGAAAATGCCTTTAGAACATGGCCATATAGCCCGAAAAAACCTACAACAACCCAGTGATTCCGGCCATGAAAGCCTTCGACAATACATTAAGAAGATATTATTTATTTATTTACTATATTTATATACTGTCCCTCTCATCCCACAGTCGGTACCAAGACCATAAAATACAATTAAAAACATTAAAATAATATAACCATAGCAAAGTCAATAAACATATATCATTAGTGTCTCCTTGCTGAAAACATTGGCCAATCACACCGTCTAATCCAGGGGTCCACAAACTTTTTAAACAGAGGGCCAGGTCACAGTCCCTCAAACTGTTGGAGGGCCGGATTATAATTTGAGAAAAGCATGAATGAATTCCTATGCACACTGCACATATCTTATTTGTAGTGCAAAAAAAACACTTAAATGCAATACAATAATTAAAATGAAGAACAATTTTAACAAATATAAACTTATTAGTGTTTCAATGGGAAGTGTGGGCCTGCTTTTAGCTGATGAGATAGGATTGTTGTTGTTGTGTGCTTTCAAATCTTTTCAGACTTAGGTTGACCCTGAGTGAGGGCTGGGTAAATGACCTTGGAGGGCCGTATCCAACCCCCAGCTTTAGTTTGAGGACCCCTGGTCTAATCGTCCCATTTTTCTATGTCAGTTACTGTACTTCTAGCTGAGGGATCCATCAATGGATCCCTCCGTGTGACTGAAGGTGACCTCCGTTTTATGTAATTGCATTATTATTGTTTATTATTTGCATTTTCGGTTTTGTTTTATTTCATGTAATTGTTGTTTTGGGCGTGGCCTCATGTAAGCCGCACCGAGTCCCCATCGGGGAGATGAAGCGGGGTACAAATAAAGTTTATTATTATTATATTATTATTATTATCTCCAAGTTGCGTCATGATCATGACTCTCGATCATGTCCCAGGAACCAGAGGGCAGCTGTGCCAAAGCACTTAGCAGGACCCGGTCCATGGGGAACTACTATTTGGGGGTCCAACCTATTGTACTCCACAACTCTGAGGCCCAAACTCTTATGGTGGGGTCCTAAGTAGGTGCCTTATCAACTCCCAATGGGCAGTAAATAACAACTCAGCAATACCTAGGAAGCTTTATAAACTTCAATGTGTTGCCAAAGGCTTTCATGACTGGAATCACTGTGTTGTTGTAGGTTTTTTGGGCTGTATGGCCATGTTCTAGAAGTATTCTCTCCTGACGTCTCGCCTGCATCTATGACAGACCTCACTACCTCTGAGGATGCAGGCGAAACGTCAGGACAGAATACCTCTAGAACATGGCCATACAGCCCACAAAGCCTACAACAAAGAACCTAAAACAACCCAGTTTATAAACTTCCACCAAGATTGAAGCCTGGAAGACAACTGGGCTCACCTGTGGCCCCAATCCCATCTGAACTGACTCCTTCATGGGACCCACCTTTCCCTTCCTCTAAAGAAAAAGCAACACCTCTCCCAGCCCCAATAAAACAATCTCTAGCAAAAAGAAAAAGAAGGAGAAGGAGAAGGAGAAGATATTCTGGCAGATAAGCAAGCCAAAGGACTAGAGGCCCAAAAGAAAAGGAGGAGGAAGAGGGGAAGGGAGAAAGAAAGCAAACCCTATAAGGAGTTGATATTGCATTGGGGTAAATTTCACATTTTGACCGAATCAACCAGATAATTCTCTGGTTGCAGGCGTCTAATCAATTTTAAAGGGATTATGCTGGTCATGCCCTTTAAATGATTAACACAAATGGTTATCTTCATCAAACTGTTTTTAATTAAGGTGTTTTCCCTCTCGTAGACAGTAAGATTGCAGTCTTATACTCACCTGGAGTATGTTTCTTTGAACTCAACACAACTTTTTGAAATATCTAAGATTGCAACCCCAAAATACAAACCATCTTTTTAAAAAAGCAGACAACAATAATAAGTGGATTTCATTAAAGTCTTAAATATTAACATGGATACTTAAGAGATAAAAATTATTCCAGCCAAACAAGTTGTAAAGGTTCTGTTTTTGAGTGTTCATTTAAATCTCCATTGGCATAGAATCAACAAAGAGGACTACTATAAACCTGATCTCCCACTTATCTCAAAGCTAGCGAAGGGAGGCAGAAAAAAATAAATAAAAGTATGCTAAAAAAAAATCCCAATTTTTTTAAAATAAAAGGAGTGAGGAAAAGAAATGGGAAAAAAACACCAAAAACTGTCATTCAGGTTGGCCTTTGAGTCTTGAATTCCTTCAGTCAATGTCTACCCATTGTTCCCAGAAAGATGCATATGAGAGTAGAACCAATCTGGTATCCAACAACCACAACCAACAAAACCCCACCTTGGCTACTAGCATAATAGTCCCATTTGTTTTAGCCGGCCACACTACCAATCAGCACAAAGCATCCCCTTAGCCTGGGGCATCCACCACACCCATCCATTCCATGATACTCCCAACACATATATTTCTCATGTCGCTCCTTGTGGGAGAACCCACAATTGCAATTCCTAGAAGCCTAGGAGAAGAAAAATTGGATCTAACCTCAAAGCGTTCACCAAGAAGACCGACGGATGATTCCAGATCCTTCTAGATTGTGGTCTTGACTGGTAGGCAATCCAATATTTACCATGGGCAAATGGATGCTGCTGGAGGAGATAAGAAGAGATAGATAGAAAGATGGATAGAGATTATCCCAACCCAACCAAATGCCGCTCAGTCTTTTCTATGCCCACGCTATTCCATGCCCACCAGTAAGTCCGCTGCTACTACAAGGCTGTGCCCAGGCAGCCGTAATGGCAGCAACTTATCATTCTCCTCTTCTTCCCACCGTTTGCCGCAGTGCCAAGATCAGCAACTCTGTTCACGTGCCAGTGCGGGTGATGCCAGCTCCAACCAGCTTTGACTCAGTGCCAACTTGAGATGGGCACAGGTGTGCCGCCGTGAAAAGCAACAGGAGCAAGAATGAGCAAGAGAAAAAAGGAGATATTTAACACAGAACAGGTCAGGGTGGCAATGCCCATGCCTTGGGGGCTCAGATGAGTAGCTACCCCCCCCCCAACCTTGGCACACCCATCTCCACATACCCAACTTCCCTGCCCACAACCCTCAGTTTCCATTGGCATATCCTCTCCGTCTCTCAAATCCCTATCTCGTATTATTCCTCCCATCACTCGTCCCAGGTGCCCACGAGCTCCGACGGGGTCCCATCTCAGATGCCCGCTGCCATCAAAGCACACCGACTCATCTCCCATCTTTCTTCTTTTCTCCCTTTCTCTTTCTTTTTTGTCATCCCCTTCTTCCATGCCTCCTAATGCCAGCTGGTGCCAAACAATGTGTATGGGCCGGGGGGCACCGCGCCAAGCGCTCGAAAACACACATGCCGCACCAACCTCCTCCCTGGTGCCAAACACTTGTGCTGGCCCTCTCTTGCCTTCGCCTCCCCTGTGGGCACACAGCCTTGCCAGCTGCTGCCTCCTTCCCTTCCTTGTTGTCCCCTCCATCCCCCCCCCACCCCTTAGCATCCGTCACTTTGCTATAACCATGCACCAACCTGGCATCTCACACTCTGCCTCTCTTCCCACCCTACCCCCCCCCCAAACCCGGTTGGCATTACAGCTGGCGAGCGAAGTGAATGCCGCAGAGGGAAGGGAGGGTGGCGGGGCGGGCGGCTGATCCGTGCCAGCTGCCATCGCCCCTCCCCTACGCAGAATCTCTCCGGGTACCAAACTGGCATATGCCACCTCCTCTATTCCCCATCACCACTCCCTCCATCCTTCTGTCTTCCCTCCAGCATTGGCTTCTACTTCCTATCCTTCCTCTCTGCCCCTTCTATTCCTCCTCTCTCTCTCTCTTGCTAATACCTCTGGGCAACGTTATTCCTCTACTCTCTCTCATCCCTTTCTTCTTCTATCACTCTATCTCTTCCCTTCACTCTCTCACGATTCCTCCTTCGCCGGCGCCAACCTTTTTCGTTCTAGCACCCATTTCAGCTACCTCCTCTGGTGCAGGTGCCCTGTTCTTTATGCCAACCATGGCCAGGGGGGCTTGCGGGGGGAGAGAGATAGAAGACAAGGACTCTGAGTATATTTGTGTGTGTGTGTGTGTGTGTGTGTCCCTTCCGGAAAAAGAGACCCCCGCATGCATAGACTCCTTTGCCTCCCAACTCGCACACCCCAACCGCCGTTGAAAGTGGCACGGTGCCAACCTGAAAAGAACCATCTGTGTCCCCCGTCTGCAGCTTACACTACCCACTGCCCCCCCCACCGCAACCACAGCACTAATTGGCAGCTGAATTAATTAAATCCTGGATGCTAATTAACATTCCAACGGTGCAACGCGGGGGCAGGAGTGGGTTGAGGAAGAGAGGTTTCGATGGAGGGAATCTCAACTGGGCATGAAGAGGAGAGAAACACGGGTATAGAAATGCCTGTATGGGCATGTAACCGGGGAAAAGTGGGGGATCGTTTTTATTTTCATCCCTGGGAAAGGAGAGAAGTTTCAGAGAGATAGCAAGAACATTCCAAGAAGGAACGTGATAATAAAATACTGAAAAAAATTATGGTGTACTCATTTTTAAAAGTTTTTTAAATGTATTAATAAGTTTTAGATGGTTCACCTTCACTAACATTCCAAGACTAGAAACTGGAGGAGAAAGAGATAAGTACATGAACATGGAAAGGGAAGGCTTGAAAATAAAAATTTAAAAACCCAAATATTTTCAGTAGCATTCTTAAAACAGGAATGGAGGCGAGCGGGTTTACTCTACAAATTAATGAAACTGAAATATTATTTCTTCTTTCTACAACCAGTCATCAAATATTATTTGCAGGGAATACATGCAGGAACTTATCATGGAAATAGGAAACCATGGATAATACTGGATCCTATTGTAATGAATGACTTCTGCTGGAAGTTACCATGGAGGACCTAGAAGAATTCTAGTGAGGTATCCTCTGTGGGAATTTGCTAAGTCCTCCAACATGACTCGATGATGAAGTTTACCACAATCACCTGGAAGAACTAGAAGTTTACTAGAGAATACCCTCTCTAGAAATTTGCTAGATCTTCCAGTACAAATCTATGGTAACTTTAGGCAAAAACCATACCATAGAATTGACTGGAGGGCCCAGAAAATTCCAAGAAGGTCATATTTATCAGATGAAAGTAAGCAAAACAATGGTTATTGGTATTATAATATACAATATTATAATATTGTCGAAGGCTTTCATGGTCAGAATCACTGGGTTGTTGTAGGTTTTTCCGGGCTATATGGCCATGTTCTAGAGGCATTTTCTCCTGACGTTTTGCCTGCATCTATGGCAAGCATCTTCAGAGGTAGTGAGGTCTGTTGGAACTAGGAAAAAGGGTTTATATATCTGTGGAATGACCAGGGTGGGACAAAGGACTCTTGTCTGCTGGAGCTAGGTGTGAATGTTTCAACTGACCACCTTGATTAGCATATAATGGCTTGGAAGTGCCTGGGGGGAATCTTTTGTTGAGGGTGGGACAAAAGTCCTTTGTCCCACCCTGGTCATTCCACAGATATATAAACCCATTTTCCTACTTCCAACAGACCTCACTACCTCTGAGGATGCTTGCCATAGATACAGGCGAAACCTCAGGAGAAAATGCCTCCAGAACATGGCCATATAGCCTGGAAAAACCTACAACAACCCAATATTATAATATACAGTATAGCTTATCATTTCATAATTTTGCACTCGTATCACAGAAAGAAAGAAAAAGTCACATTTTTGTAGTGTAATGTAAAATAAACCATGTGTAGTTCACGTTGGATCAGCCCACACACGGCCTTGCCAGGGAAAGAAAATATGCCACGCAGATGAACAATAAAGAATAAGTAGTTTACTCTTCTTAATTCAGAACAACATATGTATAAAATGATCACTTGCATCAACTCACTAAATGTCCTTTTAGAAAAATTTGAAATGGACATCTAATCACCTCTCAACAAAAGTTTGCTCTAGGCACTGTCAGGCCATTATATGCTAATCAAGGTGGTCAGTTGAAACATTCACACCTACCTTCAGCAGACAAGAGTCCTTTGTCTCACCCTGGTCATTCCACAGATATAAAAACTCTTTTTCCTAGTTCCAACAGACCTCACTACCTCTGAGGATGCTTGCCATAGATGCAGACGAAATGTCAGGAGAGAATGCCTCTAGACCATGGCCATATAGCCCGAAAAAATCTACAACAACCCATTTGAAATGGTATTTATTTGTCCATATGAAAGACCTTCTTTTCAGCAGTCAAGAAGCAAATCAGTCTCTCTCTGCTTCTCTCTTCTTCTCTGAACACCTGCATAGCTCGAGCTTAAACAAAATTGCAACAGCATCCAAAAGTTCCAGGCTCAGCCATCACCCCATTATTGCCCGACCAATCAGCTTCATGCATCTTATTTTGCTGGGTTGTTGTAGTTTTTTTTCGGGCTATATGGCCATGTTCTAGAGGCATTCTCTCCTGACGTTTCACCTGCATCTATGGCAAGCATCCTCAGGATGCTTGCCATAGATGCACGTGAAACGTCAGGAGAGAATGCCTCTAGAACATGGCCATATAGCCCGAAAAAAACTACAACAACCCAGTGATTCCGGCCATGAAAGCCTTCGACAATATATCTTATTTTGCATTTCACACACACACACACACACACACACACACACACACACACATTGATTGCTTCCAATCTCTAACAACTTTTGAAACATGCTTGGAATTTGTCCAGTTACATCCCAATTAGAATTTAATGTCATTTTGGTTGGATTATGTCGTTAGTAGATAGCACTGCGATAGCAACGTAAGTACAGCCTTTTTACTATTTAAATGGCTTTTGTGGTGTATAAAGCTCAACTTCTTTCATGGATACTAGAAAGCTCTATTTCTTTTTTCTTGTTTTCCCTTGTATATGGGTTTTTTTTAAAAAAAGCATGGTCTGCATATTGTGCGATTTTTCCTAAATTTCACGAAAATTGTACTATATTGGAATCTATAAAAACATCCTAAGTTAAAAAGGGAGTTGGGTGTTCCAGCTCCATTGTGCTCCTTTCTAAAAGTGCATAGCCAGAAAATGATGGAATAAAATTAAAATACAATCTGTTCAAACAAAAGAAAAATGCATTTCTTACATTAAAAAAAAAACCCTCAATGAATTCCAGGAGGAAATTTTTTACAAGGTTGTAGGTAACAACACGGCAGAAGGTCTTCCATTTTCATCTGGATTCTGCAGCAAAACATAACTTTGTGGGACTCAAATGCTTCCAAAATGGTTAGAAATGTAAACAGTATTTGCAAATTTTCACATCAAGACAATCTATCACAACAATTTTCAACTGCCATGAGATTTTGCATTTTAGGACTTTTTTTGGTCAAAAATTCATTTGCACAAAAACAAATGAGTGCACAGAAAATCCCGTTTTGCACAAAAGAAACTGATTTGTGAATTTTTCACACAAAAATCCCAGGTTGCCAAAATTTAAAAAATGTGTTGTTGAAGGCTTTTGTGGCCAGAATCTTTGGGTTGCGATGAGTTTTCTGGGCTGTCTGGCCATGTTTTAGAAGCATTCTCTCCTGATGTTTTGCCCACATCTACAGCAGGCATCCTCACTGCAACATTCACACTTACCTCCAACAGACAAGAGTTCTTTCTCCCACCCTGGACATTATTCCATAGATATATAAACCCCACTTACCTAGTTTCCAACAGACTTCACGACCCGAGGATGCCTGCCATAGATGTGGGCGAAACGTCAGGAGAGAATGCTTCTGGAACATGGCCAGACAGGCCAGAAAACTCACTGCAACCCAATTTGAAAAAATGGACAAAAAGAAGCCCTGCCTGGAAAATGGTGAAATTGTTGCTTCTTGCATGTGAGAATTAAGGGAAAACTTCTACTTCTTATTCTGGTGAAAAAATTTAACTTGGGCATCTCAAAAATTTGCAGTTTAAATCTTTGGCACAGAAACAAAACATTTAGCTATGACTTGAAAAACCTCTGGACTTGGTTCAAAGTGTTGGGTTTCTTTGTTTGACCATGAAAACCCTATGATTGTGATAACAAATAAACAAACAAACACACAAGCAATTATATTACAAAGAAATACATATAAATAAAGATTAGGGATTGGAATATAAAGAGGCCACTGTCCTCTCACAAACATCGCCCAAATAACTTTATATTTTTTGTGGTCTGGGGAGGCCCTGCTCTTGACTCCGCCTGCATCACAAATATGTTTGGCGGGGACGAGAGACAGGGCCTTCTCAGTGGTGGCCCCTCGGCTATGGGACATTAGATCAGCCTCCTCCCTTTTGACTTTCCGAACAAAAGTCAAAACCTGGATATTCGAGCAGGAGTTTGAAAAG